CATAAGATCATATAAATCCCACAAGAATAAGTGCACTATAATACGTGCACTATAATGCATAATTTTCCCTCCTGATGCATCTCATTTTAATTTTAAGCCAGACATTATTCAATTTTTACTTTTTTTTCATGGCTGGCCAAATAGCAAGTTTATGCAGCATATAGTACTCTAAAATTGGCACCTATATATTGTTAGGTTTGCTCATCACTTGATGAAAATGCAAGAAGACCATATAAACAATTTACTACTATAAGCTTAACTGTCGATAATTTGTAATGGTGTTATTGTAATATTTCAAAAATTATATATTTAGCATCTTTTAGTTTGGTATAAATTACGATTACCTACTATAGTTAGAAATTTTTTTAAATCTAACAAAACAACTAAATTACCCTTATATATTCTTTCTCACTAAAACCTAGCCAACAAAGAGGGATCCTCGTAAGAACAAAGTCAAGTTAGATTTTTGTCAAGGATTTCTAAAAAGTAAAATGTGAGTATGATGAGTTCAAGTTTCGTATAAATAGCTTGCCTGATTTTACTCATTGCAATCTAATGTCTATCATGATTAAAGACCTAAATTATGCATTCAATAAGGATGGATTGTCGTAACCAAATTTGAGATAGCTAAGCAATAAACATTGGCCATACAATGTCATAATGATTTTAATTATGGAATGAAATGAAAAATATCATTATTTTTTTGCTATTTCTTGATTTCCTTAGTTTTCTTAATTTATGTCAACACTTTCTATATGTTTACAACTTCAAAGAAAAGTTCTCAATGACAAGGAACCTTCCAAAAACACATGTGTAATGTCTTGTGTCCCTTTACTTGCTATTTTATCTTATATTTACAATATTATATTAAATCAACTTAAAATTTATGGGTGTCATTTTTTCTTGTATAAAGTTTGAATTAATAGCTTCTTATAAATTGAGTACTAATATTTTTCTCAAAAAAGAAAATCTTTTTGCTTACTACTTTGAATGACCATATGGTGTTCGATAAAATGCTAATGTAAACTAGTTAGGATAGGCCACATGGATTTACTTTCTTTATCTTTTTTAAAAAACTTATTGTGACATTCAACCTTTCAATTTGTACCTTTGGCTCTTTAATAGATTATTTGGGAAGGTTAACATTAAGGTTTAGAAAATAAAGAAAAGGTTACATATACAAAGTTAATGGATAAAAATTTATCTCTACAAAGAGATGCAAATCTGAATAGAGTGTTATAAGGTCAAGTGAAAGACTTTTCATTTAAATTTTCATAAAAGGTTCTAATACATGGTTTGAATGACCATTATATACTTCAAACAACCTTTTAAGTCTAGGAAAAAACTAGAATAATAGAATTAAGATCAAAATAAATGAATTTGATAAAAAAAAATAAACAAATAATAATTAACAATTGTTTTTTTCATGTATTAGAAACACAAATAGATGCAAAGGAAGCTTGAAAACTAAAATAGCCATAACTTTTTGTACATAACTTTAATATATACATGGTTGGATAATTAGAAAAAATCATGTTTTAAACTTAAAAAATAAACAGGATTAGTTTATTTTTCCATGTAAATTTAGGCTTAAAGTTGGCACATGAGTTGATTGACATAACTAAAAGATTGATATCTTCTCCTAAGTGCAGGAGTGTGGAAGTAATAAATAACCCGGTAATACTGGGGTTGAACCACAGGGAGGTTAATTGTATAAATTATAGATAACAATAAAATAATAACAACAACAATAATAATAATGATAATAATGATAATAATAATAATACTATTAGTAGTAGTAGTAGTAATAGTAAAGAAAAAGAAAGAGAAAAAGAAGAAGATGATAAGAACTTTGAGATGGAATATTAATGTAAGGATTAAACAATAATAATAACAAATGTCAAGGTTAGAGGTTCCACTAATGGTATATCAAACAAGTATAATATAAACTCTTATTATTGAATTGGAAACCACACACAAAGAAGGTTCCAATCAGATTATATATTGTTAACATAATTACATTAGTCATCTTATTCAATTAATGCTAATACTTGCAAAT